GGTGGCGATGCAGCAGCCCCACCTTGTGACACTCCCTAACGTCCACAACGAAAATTTCGTTCTATTGTTCTGCTCTGTTCTGAACTCTAATATCCTTCATTCAGAACCGGAAGAAGTTTTATTTTTGCTGCCGAAAATTTCAAAGCCTTGGAACGTTGGGTATCATTGTTAACGATCACGCCAATCGACTATATGTTGCTCTCGAAGCAGTCATTTGCCGAACAAATTGAACGCATACAAGCGTCGGAGGAAACGTCTTCTGGATCAAACAACAAAAGCTGAACCTTGTATATGTTTGGTTTTCGCTTTTCTGCGACTTTGCAATTGCAAAAATGTCTTCATATATCTGGTAATTATCCTTACAGTTGCCATTTTGTTCCATTGTTATACTACTCATCTTCTTCATAATTATTACCGGGTGCTTCTAAGTGATTTTTTTCTCCCAGTTGTGAAATTTATTTGTATAAATGGTGATAGTTACTGAATTTCACGTTCGTGAAAGCGGTATTCATCCGCGCACTGTCTTTGTCTGATTCCAGCTTAGTTTACCGATTTTTTTCCTTGAATTCGTTTTATTTTCCAGTCAGTTTCTTACGGAAAACGGCAACACTGCAATGCCGGTGAGTTGTTAATGAATTAATTTACTATTAGTGGGTGGTCTCTACGACCCCCTGCAGCTAAGTGTGTATTTTTAAGGCGTACCATTCAAAAATCGAACCGGAACTGTTGATTGCGAATATGGCGCTACTGCCATTACGGACGAATTTCAAAGGACCGGCACCACGTACGCATTTCTTTTTTGATGCGCCCTTACTAGTTATCTTAAGGAGCTAAGGTAGTTAGAGGGGAAGGGGTTGCGACTGCTTGATTGCCTGCCCGTCTGTGCTTTCCAACCCGCTGACCCGCTTCTTCTCTCAGGTTCAGCATTGAAAAAAAAACGTAAGCGACAGCCTAGTCTCGCTGACTCCCCCCCCCCCCGAACACGTCATACGTTGGGGATTTCTAGTGAGAGGGGTCGGCCCCTGGAAGTAGGCATGTATTTGTATTTGGGAAAGGAGGTGTACCAGAGAGTGAAATTTTAAGTGGGGCGGTTTTATTTTGCGAAAACAGTACGTGCCCTGTCCCTCAACTGCACCAGCCCTTCTTTAAGCTAATTTTCTTGGTTACCCGATGAGGGTATCAGTGATGTATTTCAACGAACAACCGCCAATCCAGGTACTGACGCAGAAGTGGATATCATTGATGAGGCCCTCATGTATTTCAAACCCAATATTTTCTTCCGCGAATTTGAAATCAAAGGACCGTCTGATAGAACTCTAATCTATCTCACGTTCTACATCACAGAATGTTTACGGAAGTTGCAACGGGTATGAATTTCGCATTTTATTTCACTGAATTTTTAGTCCTTCTCTCAGAAGTTAACCACTTTTGACTAGTCTCGCATTGTTTCTTATCATGTTTAGAGTCCAAACAAAATTTCTGGTCAAAAGGACTTGGCAGCGCTTGCCTTAAGCCATCAGTTGCCTATACCTGGTGAAGCGGACTTTCCTCTTAATAATATGTACAAGGTGAGATCGTGTGGAACAAGTTCATGGTGTCTCAAATATAAGGAGTTGGTGCAGTTGTTAAGACACTGACGTTGTGGGCTTTGACCTCACTTTGTTTCTTTTTTTCTCCTTTACAGACTTTTTAGCATCTGCTCAGGTTGTGTTCATACTTGCCTGCTAGGGGAAACGGCATTTTGAGATAATCGCCGTTATGCAGATGCCGTTACTTTATGACGCTCGGTCTGCTTCTTTCCTAACGTAGCAATTTGCAGTTTACCCCACAACTAATCTCCCACAATCTCCTACAACGACGACTCTTTGAATTTCGTTAACTGCTAGACCCTTACTTTCTTTTTCGCCTGAAATACCGACTTTCCCAAAACGCTGGCGGCCGGCGGCGATCAATAGCTATACTTTCTTTTTCACTCAAACGCCGGATCATTACCGCAACTTTGCTTCCCACCTATTCTCCATGAAAGACGATTCCCCCGAGTCGCAAGGCATGGAAAGGCCTGCGGAGTGGAAACTATATTAAATTACTTCCAACACCTTAACTGGGCGGAAATCTTTGAATTCGTGGCAGGCTACTTTCTGTAAACATGTAGAGCTGCGTCGAAAATTAGTTATGTACATGTTTAAACTTTGATTTATGGACGAAACTTATTTAGGCACCCGCAAATAAACAGGAAGAAGAAACGATGCGCGCATATCTACAGCAAATGAGACAAGAGCTAGGCGCAAGGCTATGCGAGAGTTAGCATTCCTGATCGCTTCTACAAAGCCTGAGGCAAGGTCAGTATTTTCCTCGTTTTCCTTTTCCAAGATTAGTATTTTCCTTGCTTTCTCTATACTATTAGCCTGAATCCCCATTATTTTTATCATCAATTATATTGGCAATGTACACTCCATATCTTGAGGATGGGAAGGGCGTGGCTGCGTACATCCTTTGAATCCGGCTGGCCGGACCTTTTATGGGGTGTTTTCTTCTAAGACAATTGTGGTGTGTCTTGGTCTAGCATAGGATGAAAATGGTTTCAACCGGAAATATCCCATGGAAAACGCATCCCACGCCATTTTAATTGAAGTACGCAGCCACGCCCCAGCCCTTTCCGGGATATAGAGTATATCTCACAAAAGTTCATTTTCCGCTTGCTAGATAGGAAAATCCATCTATATTTAATATATTTTATTTCGAGCTGACTGATTTCTTTACGATTTTCTGCCGAAGCATTTTCGTTACATTGTTAGCTTAGTCGACTCCCTCTATCTAGTGCACATCACTCTATTTACATCCCACACATAATACTAATAATGTTTCATATCTATAACATAATGGCGAAATTTTTAGACTTGTCAAACGGACAGGATCAACTATAGCATTGCTTTGCTACTAGTAGTTCCTACTAGTAGTTTTTAGTTCCTACTAGTAGTTTTTTAGTTTTTAATCACATGAATCTCCTCGTCAAGGAAATGCAAAAACATTCTTATCTCATAACAACTTCTTTTAATCCCCTAACAAAGAGTTGACGTTCTAGCCGTCCAGAAGACCTCTGCTTCAGACCGCAATCTTATCAGCGGATTTCGATTACTCCTCCATAACAAGGAGGCAAAACAGTACCCATGAAGGACGAGCTTAATAGGAAGTCCTGTAGCACGGCATGTTCTGCCGGTGGAGGACATTTCTGCAAAACCCCGAAAAATTGCCCAGTTTTTCTCTAAAAGAACTCCATCGACCGGGGTTGATGGGGGGATGGTATATGTAACACATTGAACAGGGAAGATCGATACAAGACAATGACCGGAAACTTATTTCTCAGAATTAGTGACTACGTCCCTCCCTAAGCGAAATATGACCCCTTTCGCTAGGGAATCTTCAACGTACTACGTGCTTTTGTCCTGGAGTACGGAAGTAGGGGGAGGGAAACTTCACCCATCGGGATTCGCCATTTGCTTTTCACTTGAAAATAGTGCGTTGCTAGAAATATGACAGGGTTTCCCGGACTTTAAAAAAGTTTTTTTTCGTAGCTCGAGCAAGTTTTGATTGAAATATCTGTAATATGTCTAGTTGTTCTTTTTCAAACTTTCTCATTTCATGACTCCTCACTGTGATAGATTGCTATGAACATACCCATTTCTGGTATGGCCCTCTTGTTTGCGTGTCTTCATGATCCAAAGGCAGCGTTCGGGATGACCATGTGGGCGTAGCACAGGTGGGAAGAGGAATCGGCACCATTGGCGTGTCTCCCCTCCCTCTTTTCATGATGGTGAAGACAGTAGATAGAGAATGAACGTACCATTGACGTCGTTCCCCGGCTCCACCCACCTAGCAATTGCGAACTGTATCTTTAAGTCGCTTGGCTCATTCTATGAAATAGAAAAGATTCGTCGCACTTCTTACGATCATTAAACTATTGTTCTATTCGATGTATCAAGGTCCGCTACAAAGCCTCTTTTCCAGTGGTGGCTGTCGTTTTCCCGCAAGCGCTTCATGGACAAAGGACTCGTCAGTCAAGGAGTTATTCTGTAATTGCATGTGAATACGTTTATCTAATAAGTGATTGATTGTTCATACTTCAGTGTGTTAAATAATCTTTCTTACACTGATCTGCTAGGTGTATTCAAATGTCTTGTATTATAGCGCAAAAACATCGGCTCATTCATAAATCAAGTGCTTATTTCGCAGGTTGATTATCGCTGATATGTTTTTTTTTTAATTAGAGTTTGTAGTTTGTATGGAAGATGATGGTTATAATGTGTGGCACACATGGCACGGTAGGGATCGGGGGGATTAATTTCTAGAGAACTGCAGACATACATATGAAAGCTATAGGTTTTCAGATATTCCGAAAAAAATGGTCTATTAAGTTTCTAGTTTCTTACACAATTCTATGCTGAGGGCGATGCCAACACAAGATTTTTGTTCCAACAAGTGGATGTAGCGAACATGGCCTGTCATCTGAAAGTGGTGTACTTTGGATGGCTCACCCTGCGGGGACAAGCGGCGACTAGCTGCTCTCTCCTAGCTACAGTCTCATCCGCTGCAGATGGCCGTCAGGATGCTGGGACTGGCACGGCGCTGACTCGGACAATTGTGGCCGCTTTCTAGCTGTCACCATTAGTGGAAAACGGGCTGGTGCCGCGCTAAATTCAGCCTCCTAACACGCCCCAGCATCAGGCGAGCAAGACTGGGACTCGACACAGTGCAGTAGTTTTTCATGCTAAATCAATTCGTTTCTGCGAATGCCGTGCAAGAGGCTTCGTGGTAGGGCAAAGAGGCTCTCGCAAAAACACCCGTCTAAAGGCATGTGCAGTGCTACAACTACTAACCAGATCTGTTTGACCGCACAGATTTCAAAATTTGTAGGCATTGGGTCCAAATATGAAGTCACGAACTGGCCCAACAGTGAAGAAAAGTGTAGATAAAACCATCGAAGACACCCTATCCAGAAAAACACGCGCCAGCCTGTTGCAAGATAACTGTCAGGTAGAG